TTGAGTGGGATACAAAGTAGCATATTTGTTCTTAAGAAAGAACAACATACAAAGAGAAAACAATAATATAAATGAAAAATAGTGTTATAAAGTAGAAAACACAAGAATCAAACTAGATATCATGGCAACTAATAAATGCTGAGCTCGGATGAGGAAGGGCTGTGGGCTGTGGGTTGGAGCAGTCAGGTGGAGCTGCACATAGGAAGTGGCTGCTGAGCTGGGATTTAAAGGCTGAGTGTTAGGGACACCTACGTGGCTCAGTTGGTTAAGCATCTGACTCTTTGATTTCGGCTCAGGTTCTGATCTCAGGGTCCTAGGGTCCTGGGATGGAGCGCCACGTTGGGCTCTGTGCTGAGCGGGGAGTCTGCTTAAGGATTTTCTGTCTCTCTCTTCCTCTGCCCCTCCCCCTACTTGTGTTTTCCTTCTCTCTCTCCCTCTCTCTGAAATAAATAAATAAATCTTAAAAAAAATAAAAAAAGGCTGAGTGCAAGGTGAACCTGTGGATATGAAGGTATGTCAGAGGAGCACCATGATGTGAGCAAAATCAAGGAGGCCTGAGATACATCCCACCCTGTTAGAGGCAATGAGCAGACCATGGTTGGCCCGTGTGGCTGGTGTATATTAACCTGTGGGAAAGTACAAGGGGATAGGTCTGGAAAAATAAGTTCAAGTGGAAGATTTTATTCTGCAAGCACTGAGGAATGTGGGAGAGTGTGCTGACACTTATGCCAATTTCCCCTCCTTCTTTGGTCATAGAACTTCCTAGATCAACAAAGTGTTTTCTAGAACAAAGACTATCCCCTCTCCGCCTTAGAGTTGTGAGATGTGAATGGACACGATGTGTGTTTCTGGATATGCCCGTAAAGGGAAGAAACATGTTTCCTCCCATTCCACTTTCCCCTTTCTTTAGCCTATATGTGGAAGTAGAGTGTGCCATGTGGGACCATGTGAGCTGGGGAAATGCCCTAACACAGCAGAGCAGTGGGAGAGAAGGGCTTGACTCCTTGGGCTACTCACACATGTGTGTTTTGTGAAATATAAACTCACTTCTGTTTTGTATTGCAGCCACCCCTGGGCACTGAGCTATTGCTTCTCCATAGTGGACATTTAGTCAGGCAAGACCTAGGATGGCCAGTCATTTCACACCTTCATTTAGCCCAATAAGCCATATAAATGACACATACACAAACGAGGTGGAAAGCTCTGTCTTAATTAAAACAAAGAACTCCTGGAAGTGTTTGAATAAGGAAGTGTGTTTTATAGGAAGTGAGTGACCGGGGCACCTGGGTGGTTCAGTCAGTTAAGCATCTGCCTTTGGCTCAGGTCATGATCCCAGGGTCCTGGGATCGAGTGTTGCATTGGGCTCCTTGCTCAGTGGGGAGCCTGCTTCTCCCTCTGTCTGCCACTCCCCCTGCTTGTAAGCTCTCTCTCTGTCAAATAAATAAATAAAAATCTTAAAAAAAAGAAAAAGAAGTGAGTGACATATAGCAGGTCAGTGTTGCCTGGGGCTGGGAATGGGGATTGTAGGGTTTTATAGCAAGCAGGCATGCGGTAGAAATTTTTGAAATGATGAAATATTCTATATCTCAATTGTGGCTGTAGTTACATGACTATATATATTTATAAAACTAGTACTTAAAATAAAGTTGATTAAAGAAATTATTTTAGGGGTGCCTCGTTGGCTCAGTCGGTTAAATGTCTGACTCCTGATTTTGACTCAGGTCATGATCTCAGGGTCATAAGATCGAGCTTCACAAGCCAGGCTCCCCACTCAGCGTGGAGTCTGCTTGAGATTCTCTCTCTCCCTCTCCCTCTGCCCCTCTCCCTGCTCTCTCTCTTTCTCTCTAAAATAAATAAATAAATAAATAAATAAATAAATAAATAAATAAAATATTTAAAAAAAACGAATTTGGCCATGTATGTGTGCGAGATAGATCAATGGGAGGAGACAAGAGGTGGGAGAGGAGAGAAATGTATGGCTTCAATCAAAGTTTTAGATTATTTGGACTTGTTCTGGGAAATAGTAGGAAGAATGAAATTAGAAGAAAAATACTCATTTTGAAGGAAGAAGTACCAGAATTTGGAGACAAATTGGTCCTGGAGATACTGACTGACATGGAGGAGGTTTTGGCTTTTCTATGTAAGGCAGTAGCTGAGCTTCCCCACAGGCGGATGGAGATGCCACGTCACAAAGTGGTGAGGGGAGAAGGCAGAGCATTGCCACTTACTAGCGAAAAGCACTTCCTAAATCTCTCTGAGTCCCTCTTCTTCATTTGTAAAATGGGGATCATGATGCTGACAGATTGCAAAAAAGTTGTAGAGAGCTGAGAAATCTGCATAATACACCTAGCACCCTGGGGCCTGGCCCCTGGTAGGCACCCATGAATGCATGAGGTGGAGGATGATTGCAATAACATATTCTAAGAGAAAATAAGTGAGTTTTCAAGATGGTATGACAGACTCTCCCATACATGCTTCTAAGAGATGCTTGGAGGTGAGGAAATAAGAACTCAGTTAATAGGAAAGATGAATCCGCTTGTAAATCACAGGATGATAATTGGAAGGGGGTTGGATAAGCAACACAGCTTTTGGCAGTATTTTTTTTTTAAGGGGCAGCTCCTTTTGCCACAGACAATTCAGTGGTATATTCATTTCTCTTTTCTTTACCTCGCTTGACTCATTCATAGGAGTGGGAGTTCAGACAAAAGGAAGCTCTTGTAGCATCCTGCTTAAGATTCTCCTCATATTAGATTTGGTTCTCAGCCCATTTTCTGTCAGGCTTCCTGAGATCAGAAAGCAATGCATAAAAATTCTCAGGCTCGACAGTGAACTCTCTGAGCTCCAGACTGGAATTTACAGCTGCCTGTAGACATCTCCATCTGCATGTCCTGCAGGCATGTCCAACTCAGTATGTCCCAAACCAAACTAATTTCCCTCCCACACACCCACTCCCCCTCCAGTCTTCTATCTAGGTATACCATTGCCAATTTACTAGCTATAAAATCTAGAAATTTCAGGTCTTTTACTTTTCATTCCATACTCAATCTGCTGCCTATTTTTTGTGGATTCACCTTGTTGTAATCTGTTGTATGCATTCCATTTTTTTACTTTCATTACCCTGGTGAGGATCCTTCTCTGTCCAGGACCACAACAACAGCAATCTAGCCAGCCCCCCTCCAGACTCTGGAGTGTTCTAGAACTCCGGAGTGGCCAGTACCTACACAAGATAAGGAGTGGCCACGCCACGGGGTTGCATAATAGCTGCACCCGTCTCACAGCCACCAGTCTCTCACTGGCTAATCCGCTTAAATTTCTGAAAGGCAAATCACTTCTGAAAATACTTCAATGACCTCCCCCATTTAGCTTATGAAATGAAGTCCAAAAACCTAAATTTCACCCATTTCCTTTCCCATGGTAGCTCTTCAAGCATCCTGTGCTCTAACCACATCAAAGGACAAGCTCTGCCCCCCAAATAATATATACTTTTTTACTTCAGAGTCATGGGATGTTCTCCATGAGTTAGCGAAACACCACTCTTCCTTCCTGACTCAGCTGGAAAGCCACCTTTTTGATGTAGCTGCCTTACTTCCCCTCTTCTCCGTCTCCTCTTCCTCACCACGACCCCCCTGGCTCCACACTCTGTCTTCTCCTATGAATTTTATCGGTGACCAGCACAAGTGTCTTGCCACCAGATTCTACAGTGCTTGAGAACAGACACCATCTCCTATTGTCATTTCTGAATCTCCACGGCACTTTGAATGGACTATTAACTAGCCTGAAAATAATCTTAAATTTTTGCTTTAAAAATGTGGTGATTTTTAGAAAAGAAAGCTTTTGAAAACTCCCAAAGAAATACTTAGCCATTTTGTTTGCAGCATAGCCAAACAGTGAACTCCCTCGGCGCTCCCACAGTCAATACACTTTTTAAGGTCTCTGGCAGTTTTATTGTCCCAGCTGCCCTGTCACTGTAAGAGGCTGGTATGGACCACCGCTGGAAATGCCATCCGTTCACGTCAAGCCAGCGCAGTCTGTATAAGATGACTGCCTAAATTTATGCGGGCTGTTCTAGAGTACTGAATCAGGTCAAGATAGCCGAAGTCTAGAAATGTGGAAATTCACTTTTATTTATAATTTGAGGATTTTTTTTTTAACTGAGGTCAACACAATATATGCTTTTTCTTTCTGTGCCTGAGACATATCAACAAAAAAAAAACAGGCATTCAGGGGCACCTGGGTGGCTCAGTCGGTTAAGCGTCTGCCTTCGGCTCTTGGTCCTGGGATCAAGCCCCATATGAGGCTCCCTGCTCAGCGGGGAGCCTGTTTCTTCCTCTCCCTCTGAAGTGAAGTTATGGGGAGGTGGGTGTTGAGGAAATTATAAAAAGGGATACTTTTGGTTCTGATTGCGCAAAGGATTTACTCAGTTTTCAATTCAATCTATGGAAGAGATCAAATCTGGCAGTTGATTTCAAATATTGCATTTCTTAGACTCGTTTTCTTCTAAAAATTGCTTTAAGAGCCTGGGATGTAAAAACATTGAGAAGATAAATTAGCATGAATGTGCATATTTTTATATTATAGCAAACAGCCGCATTATTTCTCATTTAGCTCAAAAACAAACCTGAAAAGTAAATGGGCATCTTTTCATCTTTTCTCACTGAGGATACATCCTCTTACAGATTAGTTCCAGAGTTTGGAAATCATTATTGTTACTTTACTCAGTCATTTCTTCTCATATTTCTCTCCCCTTGCTGATCTTGTTGAGTGGTAAAAGTGCTTATAATGTATAAAAGTTATATACAGACAAATGATGACTCTCTAGAAAATATTTATTGACACATTTAAATTTTCTTTACATTTTCTGAGAAATAAACGTAACACACAAAATACAGTAAAATGCACTCTCCCCATTTCAAATAAATATATTTTACTCTTGTAAAAAATTTAATAATCTGTGTAATTCACCACAGTATCTTAATCAGTGAAATAAAGCAAAGAATATCTCTAGTTAAATTGTCATTTATTTTAATGATTCTTATGACATTTTGCTGGAGAAAAGGAACACTATTCTCTGTAGAATTATATTCATACTTGCGGACTACTGCCTCTTGTTTGGAGAAGACAAAGGTAAGCTCATTTTAAAAAGTGTTAGTGTCAAAAAGAGACTTAGTTTGGGAGAAAGGTAGCATCCAAGATTTTGCTGAATGAACTACATTATGTGTAAGCTTTCTTGTTAATACTTCTTAGAGACGAGGCTACATTCTGAATTATAATGATTCCTATGCATCACACAGGCAATTTTCAAAATTAGTGGTTAAGTATTTAAATTAACAGTTATGTACGTAATATAAGCCCAAGGTGGAATTTTAAAGCTCTATTAACAGGAAAGGTTAAAAATAATGGTGCTATACAGGACAAATTTATCCTTTTCACTCATGATTGTTATTCTTAACATTATAAGAACTGAAATCTACTGAATTATACAGACTTAACACAGACTCTTATATACACATAGATCCCTGATCAGTTTAAGACAATGCGTTAATTTGCTCTTGTAAGTAATATTTTAGTAACCAGAAAAAAAAAAAAATCACATTTAGGTAGTCACCAATCTTCAGAGTTTTCTTATGTATAATCTACCCACTCTCAAAAGAATATGTCACCAAGCAACACAGTTCATTAATACTGCCTAATTTCCTATGTTAGAAGTTCATTGGTGTTTGATATACTAGCAAGCTTATGGAAGTAAATCAAACTTTACTGTAGCTCCAAATCCACCATAGCATAACTTGTTTACATGGCTTCAGAAATGATGGTCAAACTATGCCATCTTATACAGGCTATAAAGTGGATATTAGATCTGTCCTCAGCATTATAAAGGGCATCAACCATTGTCCAGGTGGTGACTTATAAAATGGAAATTTTCCCTCTTTATTTTAAAGGGTAGAAAATTATATGCTTAGTCATTCCTTTATGGCAACATTTTTATTTCTACACATTTCTGAAACATATAAGTATGTACTCAAAAATTCACAAGTCCAGTAAAATAAATTTGTGGTTTCCTTCTTTGACGTTCTCTATAATTCCTCCATTTCAAAGTGTGTAGTAAAGCTGTTTGCCATAGATGTGTGTTCAAAGATCCTCGACAGGCTTGGTTTCAACAGTTCTACTGAGTGACATGACAGGTGCTGAGTCGTGTCATTCTTCAGGGACATCATTTGGTCTGTCCCAGGCTCCCTTCTGTCATAATAGAGGGCCCAGAGCAGAGTAATGGTGAGAATCATGGCCAAGATTTGTGTCACTCCAATGGAGATTCCCAGAAACCTTAGCACCTGTAGTTGTTTGGTTCCTCTCAAAAAGGAATACATTTTCTTCCCACAACCCTGTAAAAAAAATAACACAGGATTACTCTGGGGGTGTTACAGAGGGTCAAAATAATGAAAACAAACTGTATCAGTTAATGGAACCAAACAACTTGAATCATAGAAGTTTAACACAGTGACTCTCAACAGGGAATGCCTATGAGAAACCAGAGGGCAGATGGAGGTGAGCACTTTTTGAAAAGCCTGGCCAGGTGATTCTGATGAGCTCTCTCCTTCTTCTGTCTTCCTCACAACCGGAAATTGAGAACCCCTGGCATAAAATACAAGTAGAGCAGGGGTTGGTAAACTCTTTTTTTTGTAAAGGGTCAGACAGTCAATCTTTCAGGCTTTGCAGGCCATATGGTCTCTATGGCAACTGCTCATCTCTGCCACTGTAACCAGAAAGCCACCATAGACAGTTTGTAAATGAAAGCACATGGTTGCATTCCAGTGAAACCTCATGGTAGGCCAGATTTAGGGCCATAGATTGCTGACCCCTGATCAAGACTGATCCAAATTTTCAAAAATAATGTTTCCTTATTATTATTTGTATTCACTCTTAGATGATAGTTCATTTGGTCAGAGACTTTTCCCCAAGGATCAGGAACGTTTGCCCAGTCTACTGCTAAAACATGCTGGTGGGTAGAAGCCCCATCTCTCCCCCTTCTCCAACCCCACATGCATACACTTCTGCCCACTGCTCATAGAAGAAATACACATGGGGGGTCTTCTGCCATGACATCAAGTTCTAGTTCCACCAGGTAAGGATTTGAAAGAATTGTTAGCTCCCCTACACACTAGAGACACCTGACTTCAAAAGATAAGCAAGGTTTTTGTTCGCTTGTGTTTAGTTTTAAGTATAAAAGGCTAAGGAGTGCCTGTGATAGGAGAGAATCCTGAAAGAAGAGAAGAGGGGAAAAAAAAAAAAGAATGAAAAACTATAACCAAGGATCACAGGAGGGGTGGGGCAAAGGGAAGGAGGGAGAATGTGACTAACAACTGCCATAAGTCACTTCTCCAGTGAACAAAGCCTAGAGAACGTGCCATGTCTCCATTGAGTCCACAACAAAGAAATGATAATTCACTCTTCTAAAGGGAAGCTGATTCTAAATGAAGGTGAAAATCTAGGAAAGAATTTTATAATAATAAATTTCAAGAACTTTGAAGATTCTGAGATTTTACTCTATTTGGAAGCAAGCTAATTAGCCTGTCACAGTTTCATGGACTTCTGGCAGAAGACAGAGACCAAAGATTTTATTACTCATAGCAACAGCAATAGCCAGAGTATGTGCCAGTTCCTCAAGATCTGGCAACACAGAGACAGCCAGATGATGCCTGTGTACACAATGGGCTGCATTATGGAAGAGAAACCTCAAGTTTAGGGAACCTTAATCTTTCATAATGGGCAGTAAACATACTTGTCCTTTGCTTTGAAGAAAGACATTATTATACTGGACAGTAAATAAACCCACCCTTTTCTCTGGAGGGAGACACTATCTCTACCTTCAAGGCTGTTTTCTGTGCAAAAACCCTTGAAAAGAGGGGTGCCTGAGTGGCTCAGTCAGTTAAGTGTCTGACTCTTGATTTTGGCTCAGGTCATGATCTCAGGGTCATGAGATCGAATTCTGTGTCGGGCTCCAAGCTCAGTGTGGAGTCTGCTTGTCCCTCTCCCTCTGCTCCTCCCCCTGCTCATTCTCTGTCTCGCTCAAATAATAAATAAATAAATAAATAAATAAATAAATAAATAAATAAATAAATTTAAAAACCACCCTTGAAAAGATAGTCCAAAAGAAAGCATCCAGTGCTTCTACTCACAAGACATGCAGAAATGCAAGAGACCCATGGAAAATTACCTCCCAACAAAAAGAACTTGACTTTTCAAAACTTTTCTTCTGAGTTTGTGGTAAACAGTGACTTGGTCTCCTTACCCCACTGAGGCAGTTACTTGAATAAAAAGAAATTGATAATTACTTAGAAAATTGCCTCCTTGTTTTCTTCTCCAGATTCCACAAAGAACTCAACTAAATCAAGAAAAGCAAGACTACCGAATCAGTTGTTAATTTGTGCATTATTTTGGAGGAGAAGAATGAATAATACCTAATTCTTAGATTTCCAAAGACATTGATCAGTAACTTTACTCCAGTAAGTCATTATTCTCAAGAAGCAAAAAATCATGTAAAACTAGTCATAGACATATTTCAAGAGCTTTTTCTGGTCAATCACGTAATGCAAATTAACAGCAAAAGATTAGCAAAATGTCATCAATTTTACCAAAAGCGAAATTAAAATATTTAAAATTTAATACTAATTAACACTGGTTTAATAAAATCACTTCTCTGGCCATCTTACTTGTTTAATATGCACACCAATATGCATGTACATGCATGCATACACATACACTCACACATATTCTGTGTGTCACAAAGAAAATTCACCGAAGTTCAAATCCTTTTCAAAGCGTTTCATTCAGCTAGTCTATCAGAGCCAACTCACTCTTATATTTATGTGTAATTCTCACAAGCGTCCTTGCATGACACAGGATAGAATAATAGTTAAGATCATGAACCACAGAGCCAGAATTCTGAATTTCAAATCCCTGTTCTCCTACTTATAAGCTATGTGACTTTGGGCTAAGTTACTTACTCTCTCTGCTTCAGTTTTCCCATCTCAAAAAGATAATAATAGTGCCTACCTACCTGGGATATTGGGAAAATTAAATGAATAAACACACTTAATACTTAGAGTGGGGTCTAGTACATGGTAAGAGTCCAGTGGGTGTCAGCTCTGATCTGGTGTGTTGGCCCACAAAAGACTAGAAAGCTCAAATTAAAATAGATAGAAAATCCATGAAAAGCAAGTATGAATGAACAAGTACAAGGTAGATCACAGCATTGTGCCACCACTGAGTACTGATGCAACAACAGCCCTTGCTCATAAGAGCCACAGTGGCTGCTGCTGTTTCTCAGGATAGTGAAGTAATCGTCTAAAATGATTATTTGCTACTGAGATATTGATCACTACCCTTCTCATGAAGCAGAGAGGTATTTAATATAGTTTGGAAAGGGTCACCTTAAAGATAGTCAAATTTAAAAGGTTTAGCTTCAAACATCTGGAGAATTAATTTATACGGATACATCATTTAACCTCATTGCCAGTAGCAGATCACCATATCCATCTTTAGGAAAAAGAAACTGATATAAAATGACTGTGGATAATGTTAACTCCTTCCCTATATTCTCAGTACTTAAAATAAAAATGGATGTTTAATAAGTAAATAAATGATTAGTTAGAATGGACATATCAATAATCTGGTAAGAGTAATTAAAATGAACTCCAGAATTAAATGTAAACCATTCAAGATATACATATGGTGATGTTTCAATCCTGGGAAATGCTTTAAGTCAATTATCATTTGAGTTTTACCTTTTCAGTAGTCACTGCTACTTAAATTTTACCTATATAGCTCTTCTTTTGTGAGAATGAGGCAGCATTATCATGATATATAGTTCCTCTTATTGGCATAAGATCTCCTGCCCCTTTTGACTAATTCATTCGAACTTAAAAAAAATACAGGAAAGGTAATGTTTCTTTTTCAAATCTGTGAGTAAAATCAAGCAGAGATTGATAACTGAACTACAGTCTATTGTGTTTCATATTTTGGCTTTGGGGAAAGTCTGTTCTAATTATATTTTAAACAACCACTTTATAAAAAAAGGCATAGTAAATTATATCATCCAGGATGGTTTGGGGGATGCGATATACTAGTTAACACTGAATGTTCTAGAGTGGGAGGGGACTTGAGAAATTAATGAGTTCGACTTTCTAACCTTTAAGAATATGGCTAAAAAGCACTTCCAGAACAACAGTGGCAAAACTGGCAGAGAAACGACCTCTAAATAGTCTCTCTTCCACATAAGCAATGAAAGAACTAGCAAAATCAGCTTTTTTAGAACTCTGAAAATTAACCAATCTTGTAGCAATCTGAGGAGCATTATTCAAGAAAAGTACCTAAGTCTCAGAACAGCAAGCTCTGTCACATTTTAATTAGCCCTCTCCCAGCCCCTCTCTCCAGCTCTGCAGTAGCCTTGAAAATCAACAGTCCATAATTATGGTGAAAACCACTGGCCTGGAAGCCAGAGGCAACAGAATAGGATTGGAGCTCCTTCAAAGCCCCATTTGCAGAGAATTGTCATTATTTGTCCTATCTCCTGGTTCCCTGGAAGACCTCATTTGCAAGGCTGTTTTTCTTTGAACCTGAGTTGGAGCTCAACCAGCCCAACAGCCTTTTCCCTGAGGGTGTTTGTCAGAAGCAACCAGAGGAACACTGAGGTTGCCTGAGGCAGTGCATAATAATTGCACACAATGAGCTAGTCAAAATGCTTAAAAAGAAAATCTGGGGGAATGAGAAGTCCCCAGGGGCCTTGGCAAAGTTCTGGGATACTTGTGGGGATCTGCAAAGTTCCACGCGTGAGTCGGGCAGTGCTCCTGCCCAGGGCTGTGCACATGCTAAGGAAAGACCTAGGAAGGCACTAAGATCTTACCTCTGGCTAACTTTGAAGCTCTATGCACCCTTGACAGAGACTGGGAGGCTTACTGGTTCCAGGCATCAACTGACCCCTAAGTTAACTGAGCAGACTTCAGTGCCCACACATGACAAAGAATACAGAGTTTATAGAACTAGTTCAGGAAAGTTATTAAGGAACAAGTGAACAACAACCTCAACAAACTCTGGGCAGGCAGGAGAATCTGATTTCCAGAGTTGCCACATTTTATTATTTAGAATGTCTCGTTCTCAACAACAATAACAAGATGTGCAAAGAAACAAGAAAGGATGGCTCATATACACACAAAAAAACGCCTTCAAAGAAAATGCCCTTCTAATGAAAGGAATTCCCTGACTCACTAGACCATCCTGTCCACACTTGAAAACACTAATTCTTCAACTTTTCCTTATTGGAACCTGTCTTCCTAATAAGATGTGTTAGTCCTGGTTCTGCTCTCAGATGATCTCTTTTCCATAAGGTGGAGAGCTGTATCTGAAGCCATCACTTTCTCTTGAATTATTCTCTTCTCCAAACTAAATATTCTAATTCCCTCAAGTTTTCTAAATATATACACTGCATCAGCCTACTGAGCTCTTTCTGGATTGTGCTGATTTGGTCAATGTTTCTCTGAAAATAACACTGATTTTTAACTTTAAAAAACTAAAAATGCTGTAAAATATTAAGACAACCAAGGCTGTTGTGAAGGTTTGGATCCCTGGCAAAAAGCTTTTCAGGTTCCCTAGAAGTGTGGACATGGGATTGCATCACATGACACATAGTCAGGACCTGACCTCCTTCCAGATCTCGGAAATAATCCCTAAAGATTATCTCTGCGTCAAGATGGGCAAGGGTTGTTTATTCAAAGCAAAGGTCTTAGGATCCTCAATTTTTATAACAATATGTCAGCCCTATCACTACCTCAGTTAGTTTACAGAGCACATAGATAACCCCTCAAACAAGACAGAATTTTAGTACTTAAGTTTGTCATTAGAATTCATTAAATACAGCGGCGCCTGGTGGATCAGTCAGTTAGCGTCTGCCTTAGGCTGTGGTCATGATCCCAGGGTCCTGGGAAGGAGCCCTGCTCAGTGGGGGGCCTGCTTCTTCCTCCCCCTCTGCCCCTCCCCGTGCTTGTGCTCTCTCTCTCATACTCTCTCTCTCTCTAATAAATAAAATCTTAAAAAAAAGAATTCATTAAATACAAATCTCTCTATACTGCACACAATTTAATATTTTTTGATGATGATCCAGAAGGCATTGTAGCAACTTGCAGAATATCAGGCATCACACTGAATATCAGTGAATCATCTACACAATTACTTAAAGTTAGGGATTAACTTCCCAAAAGAACATTCCTCGTCTTGAGGATAGTATTTTCCCAGATTCCTGTATAAGCACTGTATAGAAGCACTGTTCTCCTCAGCCACTCTAAACTCTTCATAGAAACAGCTCCAGGGCTGATGGTCCATTCCACATCATCCTCAGATATTCAATCTGAACACAAGTTGTGACCTTATTTTCAGCCAGTCAGATAATCATGCATAAGATTTACACTTTCCAGTGAAACTTGGACACTGTTGTTGAAAACAAGACACCAAGTCTAGAGAAAAAAACATACAGATGTGTCTCGATATACTCCATTGTACTATTCATAGAGACTTAGTTGCATAAACAAACATTTCTGTTGAGTGAGTCAAAGAGGAAACAGAAATGTTAGAGTTCAAAACTGCATTCCATTTCACAAAGGGGGTTTTATTCAGAATTGGAAAGAACTTAATTACACTTACTTGCTTTTCTCAAAATAAAATACTCTAAGTTGATTTACTTGAATATTTTTCTTCCTAAATAAAGCTATGTTAGTCCTACATTAATAACTTCAGAAAATTCAAAATTATGAATAAGCGTAATGGCTAACCTACTTTACTTGCTGAAATATTAAAATTCTGGTCAACTATTAACTGTAAATAATAACAGTACCTTTTTATCAGAGAAAAAAAATCACTAATCCCTATATTTCCTAGAATCTATTGGAAGGCATGTCAGGATGCCTCATTTCACTTGAGGAAATGATATACTTGAAATTATGCTCTGATCTAGCTCCAAAATGATTTTCTAAAATTGGAAGAACCCCTCGGCTTTTCAGTACCCAATATTCACAGGCCACATAAAAAAATTAGGCAGACTTCTAATCAGCTTGTGAAGATAAAGTATAAATAGGTGTAGGTACCACTACATGCCAGTATTGGTATTTTTCTAATGGATGTTTGGTAATACACATGACTGTCAAGTTTGAAATGACTGTGTTAATTATCAGGTACAAATATATAATCTTCAGCCTCATTTCTTCTAAAATTAAAAAAACTGAATGCAGTTCATGAGTCCATGAGCTTTACACAGGTTGAACCAAATGTTCTCCACTGATAATCATAAATGCTTCAGGGAAGAAATGTTTCTTTTAAAAAACAAAATTAAATCGCAAGTAATAAAATTCACCATGGGACGTTCTGTTCTCTTAAGAATAAGGTTAACCAAACCCATGCCTAGGAAATGCAGTAGAAAAAGTCTTCCTATTTCTTCCTATTCCTATAAAAAAGATTTTATTTTTACTTTTTTTTTTTAATTTTGAGAGAAAGAGACAGCAGAGCAAGAGAGCAAGAGCAGTGGGGAGGGGCAAAGGGAGAGGGAGAAGCAGGTTCCCTGTTGAGCAGGGCTGGATCCCAGGACCCTGGGATCATGACCTGAGCCGAAAGCAGACGCTTAACCCCCTGAGCCACCCAGGTGCCCCAAGTCTTCCTATTTCTTAATGACAGGCCCTCATATCTTGTTTAATTCTCACTTTATCCCCATTGGATAGACAGAATCACCAAATTTTTTTTTTCCAGTTAAAGCATTTTTTCAATTAATTAATTAATTAATTAATTAATTAATTTATATATATATATATTTTTTTTTCTTATGTTAATCCCCATACATTACATCATTAGTTCTAGATGAAGTGTTCCATGATTCATTGTTTGTGCATAACACCCAGTGCTCCATGCAGAACGTGCCCTCCTCAATACCCACCACCAGGCCAACCCATCCTCCCACCCCCCTCCCCTCTAGAACCCTCAGTTTGTTTTTCAGAGTCCATCGTCTCTCATGGTTCGTCCACCCCTCCGATTTCCCCCGCTTCATTCTTCCCCTCCCGCTACCTTCTTCTTCTTTTTTTTTTCTTAACATATATTGCATTATTTGTTTCAGAGGTACAGATCTGAGATTCAACAGTCTTGCACAATTCACAGCGCTTACCAGAGCACATACCCTCCCCAGTGTCTATCACCCAGTCACCCCATCCCTCCCACCCCCCCCCCACTCCAACAACACTCAGTTTGTTTCCTGCGATTAAGAATTCCTCATATCAGTGAGATCATATGATACATGTCTTTCTCTGTTTCACTCAACATAATACCCTCCAGTTCCATCCACGTCGTTGCAAATGGCAAGATCTCATTCCTTTTGATGGCTGCATAATCAGAATCACCAAATTTAAAAGACTGCATGTACGGAACATTTTTCATTTTTACAAAAAGATGTGGTTGTAAAGAGACTCTGGAGTCAGAAAACCCAGACAGCGCTGTTCTCGCCCTGAGGCCAGCTCCAGCAGTGGGCACTCCCTGACGGAGGGAGCAGAAGCACATTTACAAGCTGCTCCATCAAACAGTGTCTCTCATTGGGCCCTTTGGCCACCTAAATTTCGTCTGTAAGAAGTGGGAAGATGTTAAAACAAGTGAAGTGGGAAACCATGTGAAGTTCCCAAAACCTTGACCTGAAAATCTGCTTTCAACCAGCACAAATATATATAACCAGAAAATGCATACTTTTCCTGTATTGACTCGCAAAACTGGGTGCAAATTGGCTAGTTAAAAATCTAATCATAGATTGTTAACTGTTCTAATTACTTTAATAAATACATTAATATATTACAATTATTGTCATTACTGTCATTAGCTACCACCATGCATTGAAGATTAGTGTTTATTATGTGCCAAGTGGTTTGCTAAGCATTTCTCATTAAGAAGCTCCATTTATCCTTGTACTACTAGAATGAGGTAGGTACTATTATTATCTCATTATACAAATACAGACTTTGAGGTTCACAAGTGAAAAAGAAGCTACAAACGCTCAGCTTGTTCCTCACCATGTATTCCACATCTCAAAACTTTAGTGCCTAAAAATATGGGCTTTGAAATCAAATAGATCTGAGCTCAGTCCCTGACCAGCTATTACGTGGGGTTAGGTCACTTAGCCTCTTTTCTTATCTGACTTTTCTCATCTGTAAAATGGAGAGAATAATACTGTGCCTTAATAGAAATATTTTAGGGCTCAAATAAGGTCATGCATATTTATAGAGCTCTATCAATGTGTATCTTACTTGAAAAATCCAAGGTGTCCTTTCCAATCCCTAATTTACTTTACCTCTCAGCTATTACTGGTAGTGTTTACTGTAAACAGGCACTGTTCTAAGGGCTTTATAGATGTTAATTCACTCTCCAAACAAGCCTGACCCAGGTACTTTGGTTATCCACATTTTGCCGCTGAGAAAAATGAAACGCAGAGACACGAAAACCTTGCCCAAGGTCACACAGCTAGTAAGGGGCAGAGCAAAGATTAAACCTCCAGAGTCTGGCTTTGGAGCCCAGTCTTAACCTCTGAACCACACTTCTTCACTGTTCCCTAAAGACCTCTCCTTCCTTAACTTCCAGGACACTGCTTTCCATTTCTCCTCTGCCTCCAACAGGTGGGTCTCCTCCTCTTTCCCTCCGCGGTGCCATGCCCCAACTTTGTCCTCTCCTGCAGACGTGACACCAGCTCTTCGTCGGACCTTCGATCCCCCCATGCATTCACTGCCTCGTCTACACTGACGATACCTTAATAGAAACTCCCAGTGCCCCCACCTGCTCCAGTCTGTTCTCCACTTCTTCACAGTAATCAGTGCTGTCTGCGGGAACACAGCCTCCCAGAGACCCCACTTCCCAGCCTCCCTTGCAGCTAAGCAGGGCCACGGGAGCCCTCGTCAATGGAATGGGAGCAGAGATGATGAGTGCAGCGCTGAACGCGTTGGAGCGCCTTCCCACGCCCTCCTTCTTCCCACTGCCTGGAACTGGAGAAAAACAGGAGTAATTCTGGAAGACAGGTATTAAAAAAAGATGAACGTGTCTCACCATCCTGGGTCCCTGGAGGAACCTATGCAGCCGAGCTGCCCGGCAGCCTGGCCCACCGGACCAGTTTACGAGAGAAAAACAGACTCCCACCGTATTCAAGTCATTGCATTTGGAATGAGCTCTTTCCCTGTGTAGTCGCACAAAATCCACATCTCTGCCTGAATTAGGTCTACCAAGTGTCATCTCATGTGTGACAGGTTCCTACCTCTGCTCTCCGCCTGGAGACCCGGTCCTCACCTCCACTCTGCTTCACGATGCTGACACAATGATTCTGACGCACAAATCTAAAATTGTTACTTCGTGAAGTACTTCTTTCGGGTCAGAATATTATAATGGCTTTCTTCGGCGTAAAAACTCTAAAGGCAATATTTGCAAGTCTTCATTAACAGAGCACAAGAAGAGAAGTGGAGCAGTGAAGAGGTAACAGGAAACCTGCAACGGAACTATGTCGGGAAGAGAGGGAAAGGAAAGAATACATGCATGTGTCCACCTGAGGCAAAACTGGCAGAACGGTTCGAAGCCCGATTAGATGAAGCAAAGCCTGAAGATAAAAGGGATTTTCCCCCTACCAAGCACAGACTGGTCCTGCAGGGCTCTGGATGATAAAACAGACATCACCCCAAGTCAGAGTCAACCCAACCCCCACTGACAGTTGCTGAGGAGATAATGGAGTCAGCCGAGAGGCAGGAGGGAGTTTCTTGACTTCATATAAAAGAACCCCAAGAATGGAACTTCTTGGGGATATTCCATCTAAATAACCACTGAGCCTGAAAGCTGCCTACCGTTCACTCTCTGGGCAGGAGGTTCTGCGTGTGTTTATCTGAGAAGGGAGTTTCATTATTAATAAATCGGAATCCCGCGACTACTCAGTGCTAAGCCTTCCTTTCATAATAATGCCTCAAATTTGTGAACGTGGCCTGCCTTTCTGTGTGGCAACTACTCACAGACTTTACCATAAAATGCATGCAGTAGCAGGACAGCCAGGGCTCTTCCTAATGCAGTGCCTGCCCTGTCCAGCCCTGCCAGGAGGCCCCCCTCCCGCCCCATGCTCCAGCTGAGCTGGAACTTTGCGTCGCGGCCTCTTTGCTTGCCCCAGGCCCTTTTCGGCCCCATGCCCCCCAAATGTTTTCTGCATGTGGCTAGCACCTGCTCATCTCAATGAATGATGAGCCCCTCGTGTTGCACATCTCAAACATAAACACAATGGTAATTAAAGATTGCCTACCCTGTGTCTGGCTCCTTCTTGTGCCCCCATTTGGGTTCATCTAATTCCTGTCTCATTCTAGCCACTGATGTGCAGATCATTACTATGCAGACTTGACTAACTTTATGTTACTGAACCTGGCCAGCACCTGGTCAGGGACCTAAACTGTTACTACTAGCGTCCTGCCTTGCATTTCTCTTTCAACACTCGCCCCTCATTTTGTTTAGCTTTTTTTGTGAGTGTGGTGATTTACTTGGTCGTAAGAAGAATCCTAGTAGTAATTTAAGAGCAGGGTTACCTGGGAGAAAAATAATCAATCTCATAACTATGTAGAACTTGCCAGAAAGCCATACATACCCCTATCCCCCACCAACTCCTTTTGTATCTACAACACTCTGTCATGTCTCTACCGCAGAGAATTGCTAAGGAAGTATTTCTGTTTAGGATGTTGTGTGTGAAAATTATAAAATTAAAGTTGTTTCTATTAGTCGAAATAGATATATAGTATTGACTCACCTTTCTAACTGTTAACAGGAGAAGAGTGTTATCAAAAAGTGTTGAGGGCTGAGATGCTGCCCAGAAAAAAAAAAAATGGTATAGATTATAAAGCAAATACCATTTGCCAACAACAACAGGGTACAAAGGAGATAAGGAAGAACAGGACTTCCAATCTGTGAGAGAGGACAGCATGAATTCATGACTCTTAGCTCACATAGCAGATAACACACAACAGAGAGAACAAAAACTTAAAATGAACCATCCTAGGGGCACCTGGATGGTGCCAACAGTTAAGCATCTGACTCTTGGTTTCAGTTCGGATTGTGACCTCAGGGTCCTGAGATCGAGTCCTGCGTGAGGCTCTGCACTCAGCACGGAGTCGGCCTGAGATTCTCTCTTCCTCTCCCTCTGCCCCTCCTGCTTGTGCTCTTGCGTGTGCCCACAAAAAAATGAACCATCCCACATGGTTCACTGTGAGCTGCCCCCACCTTTAACTGGGATGATGTGGGGGAGCATCCCTATATGTCCATGTACCTTCTGTGAGCACTACAGATCTATACATACTTGTCACCATCTGGGTTCTTCATCCTGTAAACCAAGGCTCAGAGAGATCACATCCCTTCACTTCCATGCTCCCTGCCTTTCCCTATCACCCTGTTTGTAGATGTTTTCTCTTACTCAGAGAAGAAATAAACAACCACCTAAAGAGGCAGAAATGGTTTGGGGCAAAATTAACTTGTCACAAAGGAAATCATAAAGAGTATTTGCTACTCAAACCCAATACCACATGGAACATAGAAAGACTAAGGATCTAAAAGGAAAGTGTTCTGGAGGCACTCAGCTGTGTGGAAACCATCTCTCTGTCCAGCCCTCATATAAACTGCTGTGAATACTATTTTTCTGAAGAAGCAGTCAATATCTTTTCATAGCGGTCTTTCTTCTAACTACAAAACAAAGAAATGTGTCTATGGGGATACATTTTACTTCACTCTCTGTTCCTCTTTGTTTTACATTTTGAGTTGGTCCATGTGAAGTAGGGCCTGTTGTGAACATGTTTACTTCCATGTAGTTTTCTTAGGTGGCATACAGAGGAGGAAAATGGCATTTCAGTCCCTTTGAGGAGATGTTTATGCTTCATTTCACATCTGGGGTAGCAGACACTACAACTATCTCTACAACTGCAGTTCGTCACACTTTTAGGTATGAAATCCCAAGAAAAGTTGATGAAAGCTGTGGATCCTAGTCACAGAAAAAAAGGCACATAAAATATTGAAAACAATTTTAGCAGTATCACCTTTCCCTTGAAGCCTGTCCAGCAAGAGCTTAGGTCCACGGGCAAGAGATTGGGAGTCCCTCTCTGCAAAACCTTTTTCTCTGCTAGCCTTCTTTATTTTTCTGTCTCTCTGGTTTTTGTTTTGTTTTTTCCTCCAGATCAGGTCTAGACAGAGAACTTTAGTAACGATGTGGTAGAAAACTCAGCCAGTGAGAGAAGGAAGAGATACATCCCAGTCCTGTGTTCTACCAACTTCGACTTGGAGTCTGATGTTTTGCTGAGGCCAGGTCTCACACCTAGTATCTAGAGAGTGTGGTTGCACAAACAATCCCAAAGAACAAGGTAGTCAGCAGTCAGTAATCACTGGCCTAGGCTAGCCCTGGGTGGGCTTTTGCATTTGTAGTTTCTTAGGGTAGAAAAAAAAAAAAAATTCTCCAGTGGATCTTTGCATGGCTGCATCCTTCTCATCTATTGCTCTCAGTTCAAATGTCACTTCCTAAAAGAGAGGGTTCCTAACCATCCTAAGTAGCTCCCTCGCCAATAAAACCATTCTCCAGCACACGACACTACTTATTAGAGTCTTCAAAATGCTTTTACCACTGCCTGAAATTATTTTTTATTGCTGTGTTTATCTCGCTAAATGTCTATTGTCCTAACTAGAATCTAAGTTATACAGGAGGGATTTTTGTCTGCAACATTCTCTGCTACATCCTCAGCATTTACAATAGCACCTGGAGCCCAGGAGGCACTCAAAAAACATTCTGACTTAATGAATGTGATGGAACCAAATTGATGATCAGAAATATTTTCATCTGCGATATTTACATCTACACTTTTATACAAGTGTGTAGCTCATTACAGGTATTGGAGGACCTGCGTAACAAATCCAACAATACCTCTGATGGGAACGTTTCTAAAATGTGCGATTGTCGCTATATTTCTGCTCTGTCATTTTTCATAGGTTCCAAATGTGTCATAAAATATTATTGGGTCAGGGACCATGCAGACCACCAGATGGTTGCGAGAGATTTATTTCCTTGATTTCAGACTACTGAAGAAAGATTGCAGGAAGAAAGCCAGTTCTTATCTCTGAGCTTACAGAATACGAAAGATAAAAGGGACCTTGAGGTTCATCGAGTCCAGATCCACTCTTAATTCAAAAACCCACCCTGGGGCGCCTGGATGGCTCAGTTGGTTAGGCGACTGCCTTCGGCTCAGGTCATGATCCTGGAGTCCCTGGATCGAGTCCCACATCGGGCTCCCTGCTCGGCAGGGAGT